AGACACAGAGAGAAAGCAAGACATCGCCCCCTGGGAGGATGGCCACGCCACAATCCCTTCTCCTCCATTCTCCTCTTGGGATCTTGGGCACGCACGCACGCACGCACACACACCCAGTGTGAGTTTAAGCCACCAGGTCCAGGACTTGAACTGCAGTCAACTACATGGGAGTCCAGCGACATAGCCATTATGCTAAGTGCTGGTCCCCCCCCAGTCACATCTTAATGAGCACACTTTTCCATTATGAGGCTGTCCCATGCCAAGCAATTCATTGCTAAGATAAACAGGCTTTGGGGGTCGGTGTAGTGTGCCCGCCAAGCCTTTGCTCAGATTCCAGCCTGGCGGTGCACAGGCAGGGCCTGGGGAACAAGCTGGGGTCGCCTGATGTCCCCCCTCATCCCTCTGCCTTTTTGAGAGAGATTTTTGCTACAGAGCATGTGCACTTGCCAGAGAGACAGAATCCAAGAAATCATCACCCAGGGCATGGCCACACTGCAGTCCCTTTCTTGGGATCTTGAGCATGTACACACACACACACCCCCAGCCTGAGTTGTAAACTGCCAGGTCTGGGACTCAAACCGTGGTTGACTACATGGGAGTCCAGTGACATAACCACTCTGCCATCTGCTGGTCCCCTTTTCAGCTCACAGTTCTCCTTCCACCACCCCTGGGTGCAACCAGCCAGGCCTAGGCCCCTCGCACCTCTACGCCAAGCTGGTACTACTGAGGCACACGGCTGAGCAGGTGGGTGTCTCCTGGCCTCGGGGGTCCTTACGTGCACATGTGACAGCAACCTGAGGCAGAGGCAGGAGGGGCACACCAACCCGGGAAGGCTAACCCAGTTCCTGGGGGAGAGCAGCGATGCGGGTGGCCCTAGGCTGTAGCTATGCGTACATGTCATCTGTCAGTTAAACCTCACAGTAACCTGTAATAACCAGAGCAATGGGTGCCAGGCATGGTGCTGAAGGCTGTCTGAGTTAGAAGCTCACCCTCACACAGCCTCACAAGGTAGGCACGTCACCATCTCCAGCCTGCGGACAGGGCCACAGGCCTAGAGGCGTGAAGACATGTGCTCATAAGTTCCATGCCAGCAGGTGGCCTCCCCAGGATGGAACCCATGCGCTGTCTCACTAGGCACCTGGGCCCGTCCCTAAATCCACTGCCCCCAGAGCCAGGCAGTCAGGAAAGAGGCCAAGAGGGGTCCCAAGTGAGAGCTGATCACCTGGTGTCGGGGCCCACTTCTATCGTGGGAGCGTGACAGCTGATCTGGGTCTTTCTTGCAGGACCGAGACTTCTTAGAGAACGAACAGTTCTTCCTGGAGACCCTGAAGAAAGCAGCCTACAATATACCGTCCCATTCAGCCTGAGGGAGCCTCCCTGGCTCCCCAACAAGGGCTCAGACTCTGGAGTGCTCTCCTATCACCCAGCTGGCCGTCAGCCTGGCGGAACCGGTGCCAGGAAGGCTCCGAAATGCCCAGGGCCTGATTACAGCCATCCATGGATGGGGTTTGGGCCAGTTCTTTCCAAGTGCTGCAGCCAGGTCTGAGTCCCCAGGTGGCCCCTGCTTCTAGGGCTCTGCGACCCCTGGGGGAGTTGTGGTCCCAAGGCTGCCTCCCTGCGGCTTTGGTTGCCTGGCCCACAGCCATCAGGCTTGGGCTTCACCATAGAGGGTTCGAGGAAGCAGAGTCCCAGCCTCTCCAGTGGGCTACCCCCTGAGCCTCCACAGGCAGACGTTGGGGCTTCTGACCTGGGCGGGCCGGAGGCAGTGGCTTTTCTTGAGGGATGCAACGAGCAGCCTTCTGCCTTCCTACCTGGGAGGTCTGCTCCTAGGTCTGCTCCCAAATGGAGACACAAACAAGGCCATCCTGGCCGAAAGGGAGGCATGTGCCGGGGGAAGGGCGCCAAGCCCCTGGATTACCTCGCAGTCAGCGGTGCTCCTGCAGTCCTGCGCCCCACCGTCCACGGCCAGCCCTGCCCAGGCCCAAGCTCAGCCTGGACACTGGCCTCCAGCTTCTTCCTCATCTAAGTTCCCTGCCACAGGCAGGTGGGGAGGGACCAGGAGGGACAGCTTCTCTGCTGTTCACCTGCCGCAGAGCCACAGCTCACTGGGACTGACACAAGGCAGAGCAAGGGCCGCTGGTCTCCGTAGGGGGGTGTGGGTGCTGCACCAAGGTCACCGAGGGGTGCCGGGAGGAGGAGGGGTGGACCGACCCAGCAGGTTCACAATAAAGTCACAGTTGTTTCCAAAGTGGCTTCTATCCAGGAGGGGTTTTCACCTTCCCTTAGAGACGATCCTGCTGAGCAGGGAGGCAGAGGAGCAGGAGGGCGGAGTGTCCTCCCTTGCTCTTTCAGAACATCTTATTTACATGTTTAGCTTTGGTTTTGGGCCTATTAATTGCATTTTTTTTTTCAAGTTTATTCCATGAGTAAGAGAAACAGACAGTAACCCCAACAGGGTCTTGACACTAATCCTGCCCCCACCTCAGCCCCTGATCATGGGCACTCGTGTGCTGGGTACTCAGAGTTCCCGGACTTGAACCAAGAACCTCCCCGTGTGGATCCTCCTTGCAGAGCATCATGCTTCACCAGGGATTTTTTTGTTTAAGGTTTTTGCTGTAGGCATGTGTATTAGCTGGAGAGAGACAGGAAGAAACAGAAAGGGAAAGTGAAAAATCACCCCCAGAGGCATGGCCATGCCGCAGTCCCTTCTCCATTCCCCACTATGGATTTTAGGCACGCGTGCGCACATGCCCAACATGATTTTCAAGCCACAGCGTCCAGGACTTAAACCGTGGTTGACCACGTGGGAGCCCAGTATCTTAACCATCACAGTACCTGCCTCCCCAGCATGGATTTTCTTTTTCTCTTTTGGGGCTTTGGGCATATGCCCTAATGCATTTGGGATGTTTTTTAAGCCGGGGTCGGACTCAAACCATGATCAGCCATGTGGGACCTGGCCCCCTTAGCCGCTAGGCTACAGGGCTCGCTCATGCAAAGGAGGTCTTTTGGGGTTGGCAGGTCGTGTGGTGGCTAAGGATGCTGGACGTCCACATGGCCGACTGTGGTTCAAGTCCCAGACCCAGAAGCTTACTTTCTCACCTCTCTTTTTAAATTAAATGTAGTTGAATAAAATAATCCTTTTAAATTAAAGCTGCTCCTTGAGTAGGTGCTGAATGAGAAGGGAAGCAGCACGTGCCTGGTTGGGAGCCTTGTTAAAGCCTGGACTTTGGTCCCTCTGCACATACACATGGAAGCGTTCAGACAAGACCCCAGAGACACACAGGAAGCAAGGACGCAGTGTAGAAGTGTGACAAGGCTGTGAGCTAATGACACCAACCGAGTAGGGAAACCTAGCAAGGCCTGTCTGCTTAGATGGTTCTGGGTCTTCCTCTGCAGCATTCCTTCCTCCCAGGAATGGGGCAGGACTCCTCTGTAATGAGGGTCTCATCTAGCACCAGACAAGATAGATCGGAGATAGGGAGGGAAAGTTAGAGTAGTATTTTTAGGGGTTATGGTTGGCTTTGGGGAAAGGGGTTTTGTGACCTGCCTTAGGGACACGGGATTCTTGTTTATATGGCTTGCCCCAAGGGAGAATGAGGACAGAAGAAGGTCAGAGATAAACTTTTTTTTTAAGTTGTTATTAAAATTTGCTATAGAGTATGTGAGAGAGAGGAAGAGCTTCCCCCCAATGGGGATGGCCATGCCTCAATCCCCTCTTCCATTCTCCTCTTGGAATTTTGGGCGCACATGCACACACACTCATGTTTTTCAAGCTCCAGATCCAGGACAGCTATGTGGAATCCAGCTGCCTCAACCACCACGCCACCAGCGGCCCTGAGAAACTGCTTCTAAGGCCAACTCTGAGGCCTTCACTTTGGGGTATGGACTTCTGAACTCCAACATAAGCATTGATTCCTTAAGGGCAAGACAGTTACTGGCCTGTGCGTCGCCTCAACGCCTACCACACAGTAGGTGCCCGTGGTTGGGCAAGTTAGTAGAGATGGTTTGAGACCCCGCTGTTTCACTACTGTGTGTGCAAACCAATTTAAAGTGTGGCCGTGGACAGACTCTTCCCATTTCAGTGTGAGTGTGAAAGCCAAGCTTCTGCTAGTGCCAGAGCAACTGACCTGTTCACCAGCCCTGGCGTGGGTTGTCAGCAAAGGCTTCTTGGAGGAGTTGTGAGGGGCCAGGCCTGGGGGAACGAGGAGAGCAGCAGTGGCAGTGTGCTCTGGGGGCTTGCATCCCAAGGCAGGAGCGGGCAGAAGAGGATCCAGGTCACCACGCTACCTTGTCAGAACTAGGTCCCAAGACTACCACAGACCTGGCAGACGTGGTCCCCTGTGTGTCTTACCCAGGCCACTGACATCCTCAGGGTTTGGAGGTATCAAGAGCTAGCACAAACACCACCATGAATAGTTTTGTTCATTTCATCCTTCTCACAATCCGATGAGGTAACCACTATTACTGCTTGTATTTTTTCCCAAATGAAACTACAAAGGGCAGGACCAGCAGTTGGCATAATGGCTATGTCGCTGGACTCCCACATAGTCGGATGCAATCAGTAGCCCTGGTCCCAGTGGCTTAAACTCACGCCGGGCCCGTTTGTGCGTGCCCAAGATCCCAAGAGGAGAATGAAGGAGAAGGGATTGTGGTATGGCCATCCCCCCCTGGGGGGTGATTTCTCACCTTCTGTCTCTCTGTCTTTCTGGCAATTGCACCGCCTTATAGCAAAAACCTCTAAACAACAACAACAAAAAACTACAAAGGACAATGAGGCCACAAGCTGGTGTGTGTTTTATTCATTTATTTCTTCCATGAGCATGGGAGAGAGTGCGCACCTGCCCCCAACAGTCTCCTGACACCCACCCCAACCTCTGGCCAGCTCCAGATCTGGACATACCTGTGCTTGGTATACTCAGGGAGGTCTCTGGACTTGAACCAGGAATTTTGCCACGTGGGAATGCTTCGTAAAATACATAGTTTTACCGCTGCACCTCTGCCTGCATCTGGCGTTCAATCCCAAGTAGTCCAATTCCAAAATCCATGCTCGCCCCCCTCCCACCACCCAAGCAGCACAGTTCAGGAGCTCAGGATGCCACCCTCGGGTCAGCGTTCGGTGGATCCCTGAGGGCTATAGCCAGAACCCTGCAAAGCTCAGATTCTCCAGGTTCAGAGCGGCTGCCTGACCCGGTGACGGTCCTCGCCTGTGCCGCCCCCTGGTGTTCGACCGAGGGCAGGGAACGCGGGTTGCTACCAGTTCCGCCAAACAGCTCATCCGCACTTCCGCAGCCAGACGCTGCGCAGCCCGCAGCCACCTCCGCCCCAGGACCTCCGGGAAGGAGGAGCCTGGAGCCTGACCCCACCCCGGGGGCGGGGCCTCGCGGTGCGTTCAGGCGCTGCTCGGCCACCTCCGCTGGGGTCCTAGGAGCGGCGGCGGCCGGGGCCAAGATGGCGGCGCCCTGGTGGCGCGCCGTGCTGTATGGATGTGGGAGATGGCGGGGCTTCAGCAGCTCGGGTGAGGGGTCTGGGGGGAGCTCTTGGAGGTTCCCTGAAGCCCGAGCCCAGGGCTTGAGCCAGCACCCGCCCCTGGCTCCTGCGGGCCGGCATGGAGCCAGCCTGACGTGTGTCTCTGCCCGCAGCCGCTTTGAGCCGCCGGACCGCGCCGCTGGGGCCGATGCCCAACGAGGACGTGGACGTGAGCAACCTGGAGCGGCTGGAGAAGTACCGGAGCTTCGACCGCTATCGGCGCCGGGCGGATCAGGAGGCGCGGGCCCCGCACTGGTGGCGAACCTACCGGGAGTATTTCCAGGAGGAGACAGGTGCGGGTGACCGGAGCAGGCGGTGTAGACACCGGCCTCGGAGCTCGCGGGGGGGGGAGGGGGCCGCCGCCATCCTCCCCGAGCGCTGAGAAGCGGTGCCGGCGCCCCTGTGCGCGCTGCTGACCGTTTCGTCTCCAGGATGGTTTAGCCCTCTCTACCGGGAAAATTTCCTCAACCTTCTCCCCTTTCGAAATTGGGAGGCCTCTCTTTGCTTCTAAGATACTCAGTATCTTAGTCCGAGTCACATCGTGTTCTGACCATTTCTTTTTTTAAACTATTTGCTTAATTTTATTTATCTTTTTCTTATTTGCTGTAGGATACATGTGATTATCAGAGAGCGAGAGGGAGAAAGCAAGCCGCCAGGTCCAGGATTTGAACCACATTCAACCATGCGGTAATCCAGCGCCTTAACCACCACACCACCTGCTGGCCCCTTCTGATTTTTTTTTTTTTTTTTTTTGAGAGATTTTTGCTATAGGGTGCCTGGGCTTGCCAGAAAGACAGAGACAGAAAGCAAGAAATCACCCCCAACTCCCCCCCCCCCGGGGATGGCCACACCGCAATCCCTTCTCCATTCTCCTCTCAGGATCTTGGGCACGATGCACATGCGCCCGTTGTGTGTTTAAGCCACCGGGTCTGGGACTCGAACCGTGGTCTACTACATGGGAGCCCAGCGACATGGCCATTATGCCTACTGCTGGTCCCTGGCCTCTTCTGACTTTATTTTTGCTGCTTTCCCCAGACTGTTAGAGCCTTCAACTCAGAGGGGCCCTGCCTGTTGCCAACCCTTAGAGCCTTGCATCCTCCCAGTGTCTGACAGATAAGTGTAGAGTACTTTGCTAAGTGAAATTAAAGTCATGACCAAGGTCCCAGAGATCCAGCCATTAAGGAATTTACACTCACTGAGAATATCCTTTTTTTTGGGGGGGGGGCGGTTTTTGCTATAGGGAGGAGAGAGAGAGAGAGAGAGAGAGAGAAAGACGGAAAGTGAGAAATCACCCCCCAGGGGGATGGCCACACCGCAATCCCTTCTCCTTCATTCTCTCAGGATCTTGGGCATGTATGCACACACGTCCGGCTTGAGTTTAAGCCACCAGGTCCAGGACTTGAACCGCAGTAGACTACATGGGAGTCCAGTGACATAGCCATTACACCAACTGCTGTTCCTATTTATTTATTTTTTACTTATTTATGCATTGATTTTAATTTGACCAGAGAGAGACAGAAAAGGGGGTGGAGGCTGAGGGGAGTGAAAAAAAACAAGCTACCAGGACTTGAACCACGGTTGGCCATGTAGGAGTCTGGTGCCTCAACCACCACACTGGCTGCTGGACCCAGAACATCCTTTTTTTAAAGGAATCATTTTACTTATATTTATTTATCCATTCTAATTTGACCAGAGAGGAAGAGAGAGAGGGAAAGTGAGAAAGCAAGCTGCCAGGTCTAGGACTCGAACCGTGGACGGCCACATAGGAGTGTCCAGCGCCTTAACCACTACGCCACCTGCTGGCCCCAAAACACTGTTTTTGAAAGCATTTATAGAGGTGGTTTTCATGGTGGTTTGGGACACAGACAGAGTTTAAATAGCCTAGTTTAAATTCCAGCTCTGGCTCAGCCTGGTGGCACAGTCGGTGGGAGACTGCTGAAAACCACATGGCCCAGAATGAGTTCAGAGCCCCAGGGAGACTTGAAAACATGCCAGGCCTGCTAGCACAAGCGCACGATTCCAGTGAGCTAGAGGAACTAGGAAAGCAGATTGTGGCTTGACAACCCCTGGTGAGGGTGCCCACCCCCACTCTCTTTCTCTCCAGGTTGTGTACTGCTATCATGAATAAAATTAACTTTAAAAAATAAACAAACCCAGGGCCAGTCAGTGGCCTGGCGGTTAAAATGGTTGGATCTCACATGGCTGGCTGCTTGGTTTGAGTCCTAGAGCCAGCAGCTTGAAAAACACACTAAGTGCGAGTGTGTGTTCAAAATCATGAAAGGAGAAATGGAGAAGGGATTTCAGCATGACCATCCCTCGGGGGTGCCTTCTCACTTTCCCTGTCTCTCTGTGTGTCTCTCCAGTGAGCAAACGTGTCTTCTAGCAGATACCAACATTTTTGAAAGTATAAAAAATAGAGGGCCAGCCCAAGGTGTGGTAGCCAAAGTGGCTGGATTCCATTTGGCCAATGGCATGGTTCAGGTTATAGACCCAGCTTGCTGGGTGCACGTGCATGTATGCTGGAATCCCAAGAGGAAAATGGAGATGGGATTGTGGTATAGCCTTCCTCCCACAAGGGGGGGTGCTTCCTAGTGTCCTGTTTCTGTCTCCTGCTAGTGCATGTGCAGGTGGGTCACAGTGTAGGATCCTCCTGGAGGTGCCTGTGTCTCATGAAAGAAACAAACTTGTTTCAAAAAGGGGTCAACAGGTGGCGTGGTGGTTAAGGACACTGGACTCCCACATGGCGACCGAGGTGTAAGTCCTGGACCTGGTAGCTTGCTTTCTCACTTTCTCTCTTTTGCTCTGTCTTTCTCTAGTCAAATCAAAAATAAATAAAGTTAAATAAAAAGTTTTAAACAAGAAACCATAACTTGAGGTTGAGTCTGATTTGCTGAGCATCTGGACCCCGCTCTGGTCTGGGACGCAGGCCGCGCAGCATGTTTGATTGTGAGTCAGAGGGAAGGTTCTAGCACCAGAGCGTGGAGCCACCGAGACAATGGAGGGACAGGCAGTTTAGCTAGGGAGACCTGATCCTGCTGCCGTCCACGCATCTTCCCCACCAGATCCCAAAGGCAAGACTGACATCGGGCTGCCTCCACCCAAGGTCTGCCACGCCCAACGGCTTCTAGAAAGAAAACGGGTCCTGCAGGAGCTACGGGCCAGCGTGGAAGAGGAGAGGGCTGCCCGCCTGCGCACAGGTATGGCCTCGCAGGGAGGGGCCGTGGTGTGTCCTTGTCCCAGCCTTGCATCTCAGCGGGGCTCCCTCCTTCCCAGCCACCATCCCACTGGAAGCTGTGCGGGCCGAGTGGGAGAGGACCAGCGGCCCCTACCACAAGCAGCGTCTGGCCGAGTACTACGGCCTCTACCGAGATCTGTTCCATGGGGCCACCTTCGTGCCCCGTGTCCCCCTGAGCGTGGCCTATGCTGTGGGTGAGGAGGACCTGGTGCCCGTGTACCACGGCAATGAGGTGACCCCAACTGAGGTAACTGCTCGCATGTGCCCTGCCCCAGCCTGTGTGCACAGACGTGTCCTGTCGCAGCAGCACACATCACTCCTGGGGTGGAGGTGGTGTCGTCCTTTGTCTTTCCGATTTCCTGGGAAATGGTGCCATGGCTCTTGCAAAGAAAATAATACAAAACAAAGAAAGAGGAGTCCCGTCTTTCCTGCAACCACCCTACCGTCTTCGGAGTGCTTGGGCCCCTGTACCCTGACTCATGTTCCTCCCTGTGCTTAGGTTCCCACAGGTGCCCCCACAGGGTCCCCGCTCTGTGTCCCTTTGCTGACATGCCTCTGCAAGAGGCCATGCAGGGCGTCTGGAGAGAGGGCACTCTTCTCTAAGGCTCCCTCAGCCTCCAGCCCTCCAGAGATGCCTTTTGGAGCAGCCTGTCTGTCCCTGGTGGGGTGACGGTTCCTCTGTTCTCTCCCTACCAGGCCGCCCGAGCCCCAGAGGTGACCTTTGAGGCAGACAAGGGCACCATGTGGACGCTGCTGCTCACCAATTTGGGTGGGTGTCCTGGGTTCCCCGGGCCTCCTGCCTCCCTTACCTCCCCGAGTCAGGGCTTGTGGGGGTCAGGGAGCTCCAGCCCCAGCTCCTGCTGGAGGTGGGGGTCACCGGGCATGTGGTCAGCTGGGTGTGTCTGTGCAGATGGACACCTGCTGGAGCCGGACGCCGAGTACGTCCACTGGCTGGTGTGAGTATGGGCCGTGGAGTGGGTCTGAGGCTCGCGAGGGCGACCTGGGGCTTGGGAGGAGCTGCCCCCAGAGTCAGTCTTGGTTGTATCACAGACTAACCTCCCATCCCAGGGAACCCCCACCTCTGCCTTCTGTGACCCAGACAAACCCTTGAAGACAAGTCTCCACAGCCTCTTCATCTGCCTGACTTGTTTCCTCACCTGTAACACGGGACATGCCACCATGTACCTCACCTGCCCCGGGGACTCTGTGACAGTCAAGAGAGAACACAGAGAGACCCTGCCTCTCCCATTCCTTCGGGGCAGTCCTCACAGCATCCCAGCTGAGCTGCCTCTGTTTTCTTGGTGGATTTTGACTCTTAAGCACAGGGCAGAGGGCAGACAGGTGACCCCAGTTTTGAGACTTGTGGGCAATAAGGGTGTGACTGGGAGGCTGGTTTCTGCCATTTTTCTTCAACTGCAGTTACCTGTGCAAGATCCTCCAGGGACTTGTACCTGGGGCAGGTACGGTAGCCACCGCAGGACCAGACTGGGCAGACCCCCCAACAGGCCCCCAGAGCCCAGGAAACGGAGAGAGAAGCAGCTCCAAAGTGGGAGGACAGGCTGCCAGCCTTGCTCCGGTCCTGACGGGCGCCACACCCTGTCCCCAGCCTTGGCACCCGCCCACTCCCTTCTTGTGCCTGCAGTGTGTCCAGGAGAGAGAGCGCGGCCTCCCACCTCACTGTGACAGGATAGTGAGCGCCTGTCCTCCCAGGGACCTACCAGCTTCTGGCTGTCCATGGTGGGGACGCTCCTGCCACCGCCGGCTAGCGGCAATTCAGATACTTTTCTCCTTCCAGAACCAACATCCCGGGCACCCAGGTGACTGAAGGCCAGGAGACGTGTCCCTACCTGCCCCCCTTCCCTGCCCGTGGCTCCGGCTTCCACCGCTTCGTCTCCCTTCTCTTCAAGCAGGACAACCCGATAGACTTCTCAGAAGACGCCCGCCCGCCACCCTGGTAACTGGGCCCAGGCCTCGGCATCCCAGAGCACAGAGGCGCCCTCGCTCACCTCCCCTTGCTCTAGCCTCGGCCCAGAGACGAGGGAGAGCAGTGTGCCCGGCAGGCCCCCAGGGGCGGCTCAGGGCTGCCTGAGGGTACAGATGTTCCCTGTTCTCACAGCTACCGGCTGGCCCAGCGGACCTTCCGCACTTTTGATTTCTACAAAAAGCACCAGGAAGTCATGACTCCGGCTGGCCTGGCCTTCTTCCAGTGTCGCTGGGATGACTCGGTCACCCACATCTTCCACCAGCTCCTGGGTAAGGCCTGTGCTCCCAGACTGCTCCTGCCTGCCCAGCAGCTCTGTCAGGGAGGGCTGCAGGCAGGTGGGCAGTCCTGGCCGGCTCAGCCTCATGGCAGGGGGTAAGGCCCAGGCTAGGAATCAGCCACGGCCCTCACTCTTCCTGCAGACATGCCAGAGCCCGTGTTTGAGTTTGTGCGGCCACCCCCTTACCATCCCAGGCAGAAGCGCTTCCCCCACCGGCAGCCTCTGCGCTACCTGGACCGGTACAGAGACAGTCACGAGCCCACCTACGGCATCTACTGAGGGCTCAGAGCACCCGCCTCGGGGACAGAGATGCACAGCAGAGCGCAGGCTGTGGGGCTCTGGGCGCTGCTCGAGACAGCCCTCCTGCTAGCCCTCCCGTCAGGCCAGGGCTCTAGCAGGGGACTTGGTGGCGGTGGCTGCACAAAGTGAATAAAGATGACTTTAGCTGTGGCCAGTCTGGGTCTGTTCCAGGAGCAGCCTGCTCCCACGCTGGAGCTGTGTGGCCTCGTGGGTGGGGAGAGGCTGCCTCCTGTCCCAGGATGCGACCCCTCACTTGTGCCTCCTGGGTCCAGCATCCTGTGATCCTGTGGCTGAAGCAGGGGTAAGAGGAAACAGGCAGCTGACCTGGTGGCAGGCCCAGGAGCCCCGAGCAGGCTCTATTCTAGTTCCCTCTGCACAGACAGATTCCCGGCCTGTCTGGCATGAGAAGCCCTGTCTAGCTGGGCAGCGCTGCATCTCAGGGCCAGAGTGCTCCTGGACACGCGCTGGGTGATGGCATGCCCCTCATGCTCCCCAAGGAGACAGGTGAAGGGGTGATCTGTGCACCCGTGGCAGAGGGGTGGGCTTCCCGCCACTGCCCAGCGGACTCTTCACGCCTCCCTCGGGTCACAGGTCTCAGCTCGCAAAGAAAGGAGTGGACCCTCCTAGCATTTCCTCTGCACACACCCTGCATAGGGGGGTGGTGGGGAGCTTGGGAACCTTGGCCTGGCTTGGCTCAGGGGGAATGCGTCTCCCTACATGGGGTTCCAGAACAGCTTGGGCCAGCCAGGGGTGGGTGCTTATTGCAACAGAGGGCTGGCTTTGGTGTTTGGGGAAAAAAACACATGTGGACTGGTTTGTCTCCTGGTGACCAGAAATTTCCTTCTTGTTTACTTTAAAAAGAACCAAAACGAGGCGTAGCCCAGAGAACTGAGCTGCCACAGTTTGGCAAGTGCTCAAGACAGAGCTCCAGAAGAAAGTGCAGCTGGGCACCTCTGCTTAGGAGAGAAGCTGAGCAGGCTGTGGCCCTGGGGTTGACCCAGGCCCTGCAGGGGTGCACAGTGGTTAATCACCCCAGCCCTGCGAGAGCCTCCTGCCCTGGATTGGCTGGATTTTCAGACAAGGTTCTCTGGTGCCTTCAAGAAGCTTCCTAAGGCCCTGTGGGATTCCCAAGTCTAGTCTCCAGAAAAGGGTGGATCCCCCAGCTCCCAGCTGCGGGAGGGGGATGCCAAGCGGGGAACAGGGAGCCTTCCGCGGCCGCGATGGATGGCGTGGGCTCAGGCAGGCCGCGGCTGGTTTGGGGACATCAGGAGAGGTCTGCACCTCCAGAGCCGGGGCAGGCCAGTTCATCTTCCTGGACAAAGTTCTTGCTCCTCCCCGCGGCAGCCACGCCCGGACGTCACCAGGCTGCGCACCCGCGGTCCCTTTAAGAGGTCCCGGCCTTGCCCCGCCGCCTGGGACCCGAGTCCCCCGAGGAGTCCGCTATGGCCGCGCAGCTGCTGGAGGACAAGCTGACCTGCGCCATCTGCCTGGAGCTCTTCCAGGAGCCGGTGACGCTGCCCTGCGGCCACAACTTCTGCGAGGCCTGCATCCGGAAGTCGTGGGGCCGCTGCGGGAAGGAGTGCCCCGAGTGCCGGGACCCCTTCCCCGACGGCGCGGAGTTGCGCCGTAACGTGGCGCTCAGCGGCGTGCTGGAGGTGGTGGGCACGGCGCCCGGCCGGGATTCCGGCCCCGGCGCGCGCTGTCCCCGCCACGGCCGGCCGCCCGAGCACTTCTGCCGGACCGAGGGCCAAAAAACTCTGCCCCGCTAGGGCCGGCCGCTCGAGCTCTTCTGCCGGACCGAGGGCCTCTGCGTGTGCAGCGCCTGCGCCGTGAGCGAGTGTCGCCCCCACGAGCTGGGTCTGCTGGACGCCGAGCGCCGCGGGCGCGAGGTGATGCCGCCGGCGAGGGGGCGGCTTTCCGCAGGAGGCGGGCAGGTGTTACTCCCCAGGCCTGCAGTTAGTTCCTGATCGCCGGGCCTGGGCCAGCGGAGGCGCAGGCTGGGACGACAGGGGAGGCCGGCTTCCGTTTTCAGCCCGAACTAAAGGCTGCCCGGTGGCGCAGCTTCGCGCTCCTGTGCCCGGCATCGAGGGCGGCTGAGGCAGGAGGCACTAGACATGGCGAAACCCTGTCATTAAAAAGAAAGAAAAAGCTCCAGGGTCAGAGCACGAAATGACCAGGGCACCCAAGGCTGGTCTCAGAGACGCTGAATAAATAAGCCTGAGCGAAGGCAGAGGCCGGGCACCGGCAGCAAGGCCCCAGCGTTCTCCCGCCCCGTGCATGTGCCCAGAGTCCCCCTGCTCTCCCGCTGCGGTAGTCAGACCTGGCTGCCAGCTAGTCAAGCGGCCCCTCCTGGAGGAGACGTAGAGGCCATGTAAGAGGTCAGAGGTGAACATGGAAATGCAGTGAGGAAAGCATGTGGTTCTCTGATAGGCAGCAGGGCACCCTTGCTTGGGGACTAGGAGGAGGAAAGCGAGGCGGCCTTTTGTCAACACCTGAGGGTTGGATAAGCACCAGCAGAAGGACCTGCAGGAGAGCCTTGGACAGAGGCAGCCTGGGCCAGCTGTGGGCGGGAAAGAACTGGGCGCTCCAGGTCCCCAAAAGGCAGACCTGTGACACTGAGACCTAGGGGCAGAGCCCGTGAAGCCCGCAGGGGCCAGGGCTCTAAGGTCCATAGTGGGGCTCTGACTCTTACTGTAGGGCCATGGGAGCCTTTGCAGGCTTGGGAGTAGGGGACTGGGTGGATATCATATCAGGGACTGGGCCTGAAAAGCAACGGCGGGGTGGGGGGTAGTCCCAGAGCCTCATGGCAGGGGAAACAGGACAGAGTTTCCCCCGTGGAGGGCAGCTAGGGGGACACCCTTTGGGCTGCTGTGTGCTGAGAGAATGGTTTTGGACAGTCTGGGTTGGCGACTGGGAAGAGCTTAGAGGGTGTGTCATGGACATCTGCCCAGCAGAGGGAGGGCTGAGCCAGAAATAGCAAGTTGACATCAGGAGGAGGGCGGAAGGGGCAGTCTCCAGGAAGAAGAGGAATAGGCCCCGCCCAGCCTGGGCCAGGAGCCCTGGGCCCTGAAGCCTCGCAGTAGCTACTTGAGACACAGGACAGGGACACAGGCAGCCAGAGGCAGGGGTGCAGGACGGAGAATGGGCCCTGGTTGCCCTGGCAGAATGGCCGTCAGAGGTGGCTGGTACCTTTGACAAGGACCATTTTAGTAGCGAAGACATGGGGCTGGATTCTCTTGGGGGTGGATAGAAGAGGAATGGGCCAGGGGTGGCAGGGTAATGGCGCACAGTGACACAGTAACGCTGAACAGGACAGCAGGGACAGAGGTGGCCGGCAGGTCTGACGGGTGGAGATTGTGTGGTCGGGAATCTGTCAAGGGGGAGGCCTGGGACACGGGCTGGAACAAGTAAGGGGAGTGGGCGGAGACAAATGCTCAGTTTTGGGGCAGGGCCAGGGCCAGGGTGGGGTCTTGGAGTGCATCAGAGACAGTGTGAAGGAGAAGGCTCCAAAGTGTGGGCAGATGTTCCCGATGGCTGCCAAAGCCACCAGGAGTGAGGGCGCGATGTCACCCCAGGGGCAGGTGCAGACAACTTGGCGTGGGAGTTTGCAGGGAGGTCAGGGCAGGACGGCAGCCTGGAGGATAGGCTGGAGGAGCGGGCCCAGGCTTGAGGCGTGGTGGGGGCCGCGCTCCTGTGCCCGGCATCGAGGGCGGCTGAGGCAGGAGGCACTAGACATGGCGAAACCCTGTCATTAAAAAGAAAGAAAAAGCTCCAGGGTCAGAGCACGAAATGACCAGGGCACCCAAGGCTGGTCTCAGAGACGCTGAATAAATAAGCCTGAGCGAAGGCAGAGGCCGGGCACCGGCAGCAAGGCCCCAGCGTTCTCCCGCCCCGTGCATGTGCCCAGAGTCCCCCTGCTCTCCCGCTGCGGTAGTCAGACCTGGCTGCCAGCTAGTCAAGCGGCCCCTCCTGGAGGAGACGTAGAGGCCATGTAAGAGGTCAGAGGTGAACATGGAAATGCAGTGAGGAAAGCATGTGGTTCTCTGATAGGCAGCAGGGCACCCTTGCTTGGGGACTAGGAGGAGGAAAGCGAGGCGGCCTTTTGTCAACACCTGAGGGTTGGATAAGCACCAGCAGAAGGACCTGCAGGAGAGCCTTGGACAGAGGCAGCCTGGGCCAGCTGTGGGCGGGAAAGAACTGGGCGCTCCAGGTCCCCAAAAGGCAGACCTGTGACACTGAGACCTAGGGGCAGAGCCCGTGAAGCCCGCAGGGGCCAGGGCTCTAAGGTCCATAGTGGGGCTCTGACTCTTACTGTAGGGCCATGGGAGCCTTTGCAGGCTTGGGAGTAGGGGACTGGGTGGATATCATATCAGGGACTGGGCCTGAAAAGCAACGGCGGGGTGGGGGGTAGTCCCAGAGCCTCATGGCAGGGGAAACAGGACAGAGTTTCCCCCGTGGAGGGCAGCTAGGGGGACACCCTTTGGGCTGCTGTGTGCTGAGAGAATGGTTTTGGACAGTCTGGGTTGGCGACTGGGAAGAGCTTAGAGGGTGTGTCATGGACATCTGCCCAGCAGAGGGAGGGCTGAGCCAGAAATAGCAAGTTGACATCAGGAGGAGGGCGGAAGGGGCAGTCTCCAGGAAGAAGAGGAATAGGCCCCGCCCAGCCTGGGCCAGGAGCCCTGGGCCCTGAAGCCTCGCAGTAGCTACTTGAGACACAGGACAGGGACACAGGCAGCCAGAGGCAGGGGTGCAGGACGGAGAATGGGCCCTGGTTGCCCTGGCAGAATGGCCGTCAGAGGTGGCTGGTACCTTTGACAAGGACCATTTTAGTAGCGAAGACATGGGGCTGGATTCTCTTGGGGGTGGATAGAAGAGGAATGGGCCAGGGGTGGCAGGGTAATGGCGCACAGTGACACAGTAACGCTGAACAGGACAGCAGGGACAGAGGTGGCCGGCAGGTCTGACGGGTGGAGATTGTGTGGTCGGGAATCTGTCAAGGGGGAGGCCTGGGACACGGGCTGGAACAAGTAAGGGGAGTGGGCGGAGACAAATGCTCAGTTTTGGGGCAGGGCCAGGGCCAGGGTGGGGTCTTGGAGTGCATCAGAGACAGTGTGAAGGAGAAGGCTCCAAAGTGTGGGCAGATGTTCCCGATGGCTGCCAAAGCCACCAGGAGTGAGGGCGCGATGTCACCCCAGGGGCAGGTGCAGACAACTTGGCGTGGGAGTTTGCAGGGAGGTCAGGGCAGGACGGCAGCCTGGAGGATAGGCTGGAGGAGCGGGCCCAGGCTTGAGGCGTGGTGGGTGCAGAGCAAGGACACCTCGGGGACTGTGGGACAGATGCCATCCTGCGGGTCAGTGGGGATGAACCAGGACGGTCTGACCTCCCTCTTTCTGCATCCATCCGGGCGATGCTGCACGCAGGGGGCTGGACAGAGGCGCGAGCATTGGACTTAGAGACAGCTGAGGACCTTGACCAGATTAGCAAGCTCTCTGCGCCCATTTTGCCATCTGTGAAGGGAGCTTACAGTCTACACCCGACACGCTGGTGGGAGGAGCGAAAGCGAGGGAGTGAGGCTTCTGAACAGGGTGAGCCTGGCCCTCGCCGGTGGACAAAGAGCGGGGCTTCTGGCGTCAGCCTGGTTTGTTCTCTCCTGTGAGAATGCTCGTCCTCAAGGGAACGGAAGGAGCACAGCCAAATGGGGGTCCTCTTGTGCCCAAAGCTAGGGTCTAGACTGGCCCTGTTGCTGGAAGAGTCTGCTTTATTCACTCCTTGAACTTCCTGCTTGTCAGCTTTGGGGCTTTGGGCCCTCACCCCTACCCACGAAGGCTGCCCCAGCTGGCGACGTTGTTCCCATGTCCTGATCTGCAGGGAGGGGAGGCTACAGCCCAGAGGGTGGGTGCTCTGCCTCAGGTTGCTCAGCCTGAAGGAGACAAGCAGGACTGGAAGTTGGGACTTCACCCACACACCCCCTGCTCCCGTGGGGATGGCCTGGGCCTTGACCGTCCTGGGACTCTGACCCCATTCTCTGAGCCTGTATGGAGGCTGGTGCTCTGCGTGCCGGCCCGCTGCTCAGCCTGGCATGAGGAGGGGTACCCAGCACCTGCAGGTACTGCTGGTTGTCTGAGGAAGTCACAGCCAACCGTGCCCTCTCGCCCCATGGCGGGCACTACAGGTCCAGCTGAGGGCCAGGCTGGAAGCCACCCGGCAGCAGGCCACCCAGACTGAGACTCAGCTCCAGGAGCTGCTGCAGCAGAGCAGCCAGATCCAGGTAGGAGGCCTGTCGATCCCAGCCCTCCACCTGTCACGCCGTCCCATGGGCAGCCACCAGCTGGGTCCTAGGACACGGGGCAGCAGGTGTGAGCCACCTTGGCAGCAGGGAATGAGGGGCTGAGCAGCAAGTTGAGTCCCAGGGAAGGGGAGGAGGCTCCAAGGGCCCCAGGTCCCCCAGCCCCAGCCCCCAGCCAAGTGGGTAGCCCTGAGGCCTGTCCTGTGTCTTCCCCCTCACCCCCAGGACTCAGCCTGCAACCTGGCCTGCTCCGTCTCCGGCAAGTTCAGCAGCCTACTGCAGGCCCTGGAGCTGCGGCGGCACCAGGAGCTGAGGACCATCAAGGCAGCCAAGGCGCAGGTGCTAGCACAGGCCCGAGCTGGGGAGCAGCAGCTGCGGGGCCACTTGGAGGCCCTGGCTTGCCATGGCCGCAGGATCCAGGACCTCCTGGAGCAGGAGGACGACCGGACCTTCCTCCAGGTACCACCTCGGGACACCAGGCCGAGGGCTCTCCTCCCCGCCCCTCACACACAGTCTCACTGCAGCTGTCGCTGGAACTCAGGGGTCACAGCTCCTTGAGGCCCCAGGGCCTCTCAGGCCACTGGCCCCTCTGCAGTGGGACGAAGACCAGATGCTGGGTGACCTGAAGGAGTTGCTGAGCCAATTGTCTGGCCTTCTCCTGGAAAAGTGGGGCCACCCTGAGACGCCAGCCACGACCACCGACTCAGACCCTGTGGGTAAGGCTGACACCCCAGACCTCCCTACCTCTGGACTCAGGACTGGGAGCAGGGTCAGGCCCATGTCCCCATGGTGCTTCCTGCCCCACCTCCTCTCCCCTAACACTGCTTTGCCCCCTAGAGGCTCCAGGCCCCCCGGCACCAGTCCTGAACGCTGTTTGTCCACTGAGGAGGCAACTCTGGCAGAGTAAGGAAGCCAGTGTGTGTGTGTGTGTGTGCTGTGAGCACATGTGCACATGTGTGCATATACCCGTGTGCACAGGTTGGTGTGCCCATGTGTCTTGTCCCAGGCATCATTTCATGGTCCTCCCCGGGCCTGGCCCCGTCTTCCCACTCACCTTGGCAGGAAGTGCTCTCCTTGCCCATCCACTAGCCCTGAGACAGGCAGAGCCAGCGTAGGAGGGGACTGCGAAAAGGGCATGGAAAATAGAATTCAAGTGTGATCTTACTTTGGTGCCAAAAATTCGAATTCCAGGGACCAGCAGTTAGCGTAATGGCTATGTCACTGGACTCCTACATATTTGACCACGGTTCGCATCCTGGACCCGGTGGCTTAAAACTCACGTCGGGCGCATATGTGTGCGTGCCCAAGATCCCGAGAGGAGAATAGAGGAGAAGGGATTGCGGCGCGGCCATCCCCCCTGGGGGGTGATTTCTCGCTTTCTGTCTCTCTGTCTCTGTATGTCTGGTGAGCGCATGTGCCCTATAATGAAAACCTTTGCCAAAAAAAAAATATATATATATATGAATTCCATGAATAGTTTTTTTTTTTTTTTTTTAGGGGGGTTTTTTCTTTTGGGCCACGGGCCCCTCCCCTTTCCTCCAGTCTCCTCTCGGGATCTTGGGCACGCATGCACATGTGCCCGGCGTGAGTTCGAGCCACCTGGTCCGGGACTCAAACCGCGGTCGACTACACAGGAGTCCAGCGACATAGCCATTATGCTAACTGCTGGTCCCCCATGAATAGTTTTTTAATAATGCACATTTTCCATGAACTTTCTGAGGCTCGTGCATGGTCCTTGAGGACAGTCTGGGTCCAACACAGCCGTCCCCAGTGCTGAGCTGAGCGCTGGGCTCTGCCAGTGCGTGCCGAGTGCCGTGATCCTGGCCGGCACGGGCCGGCTGCAGGCAGGTGTGGTGCTGTGGCTGCTCTGCCCTCGTGGGCAGGATGGTACCCTGCTCGCGTCTGTCCATCTCCCCAACAGATTATCGCAACCTGACCTTTGATCCGAGCAGTGCCAACCACCACTTCTCCTTGTCCTGCCAGAACCGGCAGGTGAAGCACTGTCGCCAGCCCCAGGGCCTGGCCAAGCCAGGCAGCTTCGAGCTCTGGCAGGTGCAGTGTACCCAGAGCTTCCAGTCTGGGCGACACTACTGGGAGGTCTGCGTGTCAGACCACTCGGTGACGCTGGGTGTTGCCTACCCGGGACTGACGCGGCACAAGCCCGGGCCCCACACGGACAACATCGGCCGGGAACCCTGCTCCTGGGGCCTCTGCATCCAGGAGGACAGCGCCCAGGCCTGGCACTGCGGGAAGGCCCAGCGCCTCCCGAGGGTGTCTGCACAGCTCCTGGGCATAGACTTGGATCTGACCTTGGGCTGCCTCACTTTCTACAGCCTGGAGCCGGAGACCCAGCGCCTGCACACCTTCCACGCCCTCTTCACCCAACCCCTCTACCCCGTCTTCTGGCTCCTCGAGGGCAGGACACTCACCCTGTGCCATCAGCCCTGAGCCAAGCTCCCTCCAGGGCCCCAACAAGAGGCCTCCGTGCCCAGCTGAGAAGGCTCCACTCTGGGCCAGGGGCAGGTGCCACCACACCCCTGCCCCCAGGAGCCACCCAGCCCCTGCCCGGGGCTCCAAGGCCACAGCTCCAGCAGGACCAGCTCTTGGCTGGAAGACTGAGTTGAGACCAGGCTGGGCCATTTGGAGACAGGTGGGGGAGCCCCCACACTGCAGGTGAGCACAGGCCTCAGGTCTATGTGCATGTGCTTGCTGGAGAAACAGAGACAGAAAGCAAGAAACCACCTCCCAAGGGGGTGGCCACACCGCAGTCCATTCTCCGTTCTCAGGATTTTGGACACGCATGCGAACGTGCCCAATGTGAGTTTAAGTCGCCAGGCCTGGATTCGAACTACGGTCCACTACACGGGAGTCCAGTGATGTAACCATCATGCCATCTTCTGGTCCCTGTTCCAGCCTCTTTGAAGGGAACATTGACTTAAGAAGGAGGTAGAATGGGACTCCTCCATCCCCACCCCAGATAGATTGCAGTTCTGGGTGTTACCTCAGCCTCCTGGCTGGAGCAGCACCCGGGACATCCCTGGCTCATGGGACAGCATGTGTGACAGTCATACAGCATCAACCTGAGTTTACCCAAGCCCCACCACTGGAGACTGCGCAGCCCTACGGAGCAGTCAGCCTGTGGGAGGCAACCTGGACCATTCTAGAGAAAACAGGTTTTACCTCCGCCCTCCCTGTCTCCTTTTCTCTAACGATTCAGTACGTTTCAGTCTGGACTTTTTGTCTTCCTTGTACATCCTTGCAATAGTATCCTGCAAATAATTTTGTTTCCTGGACTTTTTATTTAAACATTTTTCACATTAATAAAAATTCTGGGCCAGGGCCAGCAGGTGGCATAGCAGTTATGTTGTTGGACTCCTGCATGGCTGGCCATGGTTTGAGTCCTGGACTCAGAAGCTTGAAACTCATGCCTGGTGTGTGCGTGTGTGTGTGTGTGTGTGTGTGTGTGCTTGCCCCAGATCCCAGGAAGAGAATGCAGAAGGGATTGTGGAGTGGCCATCCCCTGAAGGGTGATTTCTCACTTTCCTTCTCACTGTCTATGTCTCTGTCTGTCTCTCTGGTGAGTGCACATGCCCTGAGGCAAACCCGCTAAAAGTGAATAAATACAGATTCTGGGCCAGCCCGGGCTGTGGTGGTTAAGATGGTGATCCCACATGGCCAGCTGAAGGCTGGAGTCTCGGCCCTGGAAGCTTGAGAAGCCCACCGGGCATGCGTGTGTGTACACCCAGAATCCCAGTGGGAGGTGGAAAAGGGATCATGCTATGGCCATCCCTCCCCCCTCTGGGAGGTGATTTCTCACTTTCTTGCTGTGTCTATCTCTGGCAAGTGCACGTGCCCTCTGACAAAATTAATAAACAAACCAATTTTTCGCCTCTAGTGGGCAGCACAGGGAATAGAGCAGCAGGCGGTTTGGACCTGCAGCGCAGCTGGGCCACGGCTGTAGCCACTGTGGGAAGCTGCGCACCAGCGAATATTGCTGGTTTCTCAGAAAGCAAACAATTACACAATGCCAAAAGCCATGATTGGCTTCCCTTCAAAACCTCACCTTTGAAACCATACTCTGATTGGCCACTAGAATCTCTTAGATTTGCATATCTGGCACCTCATGATTGGTCCAAAAGCAACCAATCATAACCCACCTTTTACAACCAATCACGGCCCACCAGCATGTATATAACCATGATGCCTGGCCCACAATTGCCAGACAACCAGGGAGACTACACAGATGACCCAAAAGACCCTGAAGACCCCGAAGGCCAGTCACGACAAGTTCTCGCCCTCCCTCCTGACCCAAAAGCTGCAGCAGAAACGTCCAGCTGGCAAGCCCCAGCTATGAGAAAGGGAGAGTGAGGGACAGCGGCACCCAGGTCACTCCATGTACGTCCCTTTTCTGTTGGATTTTCTGTCAGTCCCCTTGCGGTTCTGTGGGTGTGTTCCCTCCCCAGGGTATTAACCTTTACTGACACTTGACAAGATGACAAAATGTCACTTATTCCCACCTCATCCTTAGAGCAGTGCTCTGAACTGGGGAGGGTGATCCCACAGACCTGGGAAGCGCTCACCTGATTCTCACAGGACTCCCCATCCTCTGAGGGAGAGCACAGCCATTCAGCCAAGGTGGTGCAGGCAGTGGGGCTGCTGCTGAGCCAATAGGGAGGCCCCCGTGCGTCCTGGGTCTAACTGAATGTGCCAGGTGCACCCATGGGTCCAGGCCGGGGCGGAGGGGACGGGCACGAAGACCTTGTCAGTGCCTGACTGTCCCTTTCCCTCGCTCTCCCAGAAAATAAACTTTAAAAAAAAGAGCACAGACTTTGGGGCATGACATTTGTAAAGGGGACACATTTGATTCGATTTGATTAACCTGTAGGCATTTCTGCCCTCCCCCATTACAGTTTCTGAGCGTCTGGGTAGAATCAGGAGGGTGGGCACCTGGGACAAGAGCAGGAGGGATTTAAAGACGGGCCGGGGGGCAGCAGGTGGTGTGGAGGTTAAGGTACTGGATCTCCAGTTGGCTGCATGATCGAGTCCCAGACCCAGACGCCTGAAGATCATACACGTGCGTTCCAAGAGAAGGAGAAAGAGTGCGACGTGGTCACCCCTGGCCGGGGGTTCCTCCCTTTCCCTTTCTCTTCCTCCCTCTCCGGTGTGTACATGCACCCTATAACAAAAAATTTAAAAACAGGGACCTTGGATTGGCCCTGAAGCCTAGTAGTCAAGGGAGCCTGATCTCACATGCCCAACTGCAGTTCAAATCCCAGCCCCAATGACTTGAGAAACACACCGGGTGCATGTTGATAGGAAGGAGGGACAGGCTTGCCACATGGCCACACCCCACCAGGGGGCTCTCTCCTTTCTCTGTTTCTGGAGAGTGCACACAACTTTTAGCAATGAAAAGGACAGACAGAGGGGCCAGCAGGTGGTTGGTGGTTAGGGCACTGGACTCCCACATGGCCCATCGCAGCTTGAGCTCCAGACTTGGCGCCTGCCTTCTCATTCTCCTCCCTACCCTATCCCGTCTCTTTCTGCTCAAATCAAATAATGAATAAATTAATTAAATCATTATTTTTAAAAATAAAATAAAAGACGGAGAGGAGGCCTGAGGACCAGTGGGTGGAGGGAGTTGGTTGCAGGCTACAAAAGGGGGTGGGGGAGAGGACGAAAGACTGCTTGCTCTTTCCCAAGCAGGAAGCAGGCAGAATGGAGACTGAGAAATGGGGTCCCAGTAGCATCGGACTGAAGAGACACGACAGACACCAGCCAGAGCTTGCAATTCCAGGGAACAGGATTTCCACTTGAGCCTTCCGTGCCACCAATCAGGCGAAGCCTGAGCAGACTC